GCAGAGACACACAAACACACACACATAGACACACAAACACACACACATAGACACACAAACACACACACGCACACACACACACACAAGGATGAGCACTCTCCTTGGGAAAGACGGATATGAGTGGAGAGTAGAAACTGTGGATCATCTCTATTGCCACACTGAAGCACTGACTGATGAAAGGAGGCTAAAGGGCAGTGCTGTGGTCCTCAAAGTCCACTTACACAAGATGAGCCTGTGTCTGACTTATGTGTGCAGTATTCACACCAGACATATAGAAGTGGGCAATAGGGCTGTAACTGAATAAAAAAAATTGTGGTCAATTAAAGGCCAACCATGTCCATCTAGTCGACTAAAAGTTTGTGTAAAGGTAGAATAAAGTCACAAATCACACCTTCTGCTTTTGGGCCTTTTACATCTAATAAAATAATTTGCTGACTAATAAAAGGTTTGATTACATAAGACACCATTGACTAAATAAACAACTAAATGCTTACATCCCTAGTCTTTCTTCCAGATAGTATTAGGTCTTAAAAGAAAGCAAAATTAACATGGTCATCTATGAAATGTAAACATTTCCACGTTGCCAATTGACTGTAAAAAAAATAGATAAAGATAGAAGTAGAGAGGTTAATTTTTCAGTATTGCCCAACACTATTAGTGAAAATGAATGCAATACCTGGACGCAGCTATTTCCACCTTGCTCCTGGCGATGGCGGCTGCTCTCTGCGCCCCCTCTACGGCCCGATCCACCTTTTCTTTGGTTTTGGGGTTCTTAAGAGGAATCAACTGCTTCCTTATTCCACGCACCAGGACATTGTTTTTGTACTTCCCCTCTTCTTTAGTGCTATCAGGAAAAACCGTGCACCCATAACCATGGCGCTTATTATTTAGCCACTCCCCCTCATACTTCATCCCGTTGGACCTTTCCGAAACACCAAATCCGTTACGCTTGTCATTCTTCCACTCGCCCATGTAGCTCTCGGTGGTAGTGGCGTCCACGTGATCCTCCAGAGGTAGATCTTCGTCGGCTAGCTCCCCGTCTCCAATGGAGACAGTGGAGTTGGCATCACTGGAGCTGATTCGGCTCATGGTGGCATCGCTGCGTGCTGAGCTGCGTTTGCTGGAGATGGAGGTCCTGGAGTCAGACTTGCGCAGCTGTCGGAGGCTGCCGAACAGGGACCCCCGGCGGAAAAGGCCCTTCTTTTTACCCGTCACAACCTCCGAGTCCGAGTGGAAGTTGAGGACGAACCCGCCGCGGCTGCCTGTGGGTGTGTCCCCTGGAGAGGACAGGTCATGGAGGACGGTGCCGTTGCTTTGCTCAGAGCGCAGAGAGGCCATGGAAGTGCGCAGGGGGGAGCGGATGATAGTGGCCATACCGTAGGGGACACTCTGACGAACACCATAGCCATGTCGCATCCCACCCATCCACTGACCCTGATAAGTGCCTGACGAAATAAAGAGGAAGAGTTAGGGTTGTGCATTCATTACAAAACCAAAGGATGAGACAAGGTGAAGACAATGCCAAGGTTAAAACATCTGAGTAATGGATCTAAACTCATCTCATTATTTAGTATCCCACCATCATACACTATTGACTGTACAAAAATGTGTCCTCTGTATTTCACCCATCTTTTAATATCCCTGTCAGGACCTCTTGTCCTAGACTTGTTCAGGACTACCTAGCAGGAGGACTGTAGTGCATAATTTAGGTTACACGTACTGATATCTGTTTTCTTACTGATGTCCTATATTGCATAACTAGTAGTGCAATATGAAGCATGCCTTGATTCCTAGTCTAACTATTTGCTCCATTACAGTGAGTTCCAGGAAGAGGAAGGACAGCACACGCTTCCAAGACAACGCACAATCCACACTTGGAATGACAAAAGCAAAATGAGCATAGGAAAATGATGTGTGAATATTGTTCTTGGATTAACTACATTACAGGGAATATTACAGTTTACTGCATATACTTTTACACTGAAGTATAAAGTACTTAATCATCTCACTTTTGCACAGTCACCAGGCCCCCAGCAGCATTGCATTTGTCAGCATAATGCCTCACGAGAAACACAAAAGAGACTGTGTAGGGGCAGCGCACAGTTAGTATATAGACAATAATAAAATTTTTTGTTTGCTTTTTCCCTTTCCTTGATGTATGGTATGCACTGATACCAGGCATTAGTTGAGATGGAAATCACTCTATTTCCAAGTAGCTGAGAATAGGAAAACATCTTTATCCTTCACAACAGGGAGCAGGGTGAGTCATGAGTGGAATTATTCATTAATTATTATATATTTATCCACAACAACACAACACAACACAATAGAAGCTTGTGGCTGTGCAATATGGCAAAAAATAAATAAATAAAAAAACATCATAGTGATTAATCTTGATTTTCCTTTTCAAAAACTAAATAAACTTAACTTTAACTATTGAATTCATGAATATTAACATTATTTTATTCCTCCTGTATCCAAACTTCACTCCATACCACATCTTCTCACTGACAGAGAATTGGCTGTAGACCTCTCAGTTCTAAAGGCCGACGCATTTCACTGACATTTAGACAAGACTGCAATTCAATCTTGATTAAAATTTTATTAAATGCCCAACCCTAGAATCTTGTATTGGAAATAAAGTCAGTTCAACACTTGTGACTACTACAAATAAGATATAATGGTCAGACTAAAAAATAAAACAATTTAAAAGTCAAGGTAGTAGTGCATAGGAACGAACAATTTGAGATTAAGAGGCTGTCTCTTTACTGCAGTTCAATTTGGTGAGCGGGCAGATCAAGTTCTCGTGATGTGGCACAGTCAGATGGCCAGATGTTGAGCAGATCACTGAGATCACAGACTCTAGTGACTGGAAGCCTCATCTGTGACCAAGGCTTTTACTCTGCACCACGCGGCCGCTGTCACTGCTGCTGCTCACATAACTACCACTGTTTTATAACCACAAGTCGCTATCAATTAAGTGATTTATTTTTATGAATGTCATGTATTCAAGCTTTATTACAACTGGAGATGTTTGGTAAGTGAATGGTGGTTTCAAATGTGTAAACTCAGGTGATAATGTGAACAGACTTGGATCAGAAATAATTTGTTTGCTCCTATTTCCACTTTCCCTTTGGATGAGGCACAGAGCCAAAAGAGCTGTCAACTGGACTCTCCCCTCCCACAGTCATATGAGAAGTTGCAGTGAGAAAGGTACTGAGACATCGAAACTAGTCAAATCTATACAGAGTTTTTCTATGATATTACAATTAAAAGTCCCCAATTGAAAAAAACCTAACTTCACTTAATTCAGAAGTTTAGTCTTTTTGGTTGTGTTGTGCATCTACAACTTTAGACTTCTATAAGATTGTTTTTGATGCAGTTACTCATAGACTGTATGCCTACACCCCACTGCAGCATATGCTTGGTGTGTAAACACACATTAAAGTGAGACACTGAGCGTCAACTATACCATTCCATTCAATTTTAGAGTTGGGGCAGAGGTAAAAGTCATGCTGTAAAGATATGATTGATCAAATTACGCAGTGTCCAGCACCAGCTTCCTATCAGATGGCAAAATGCATCATCACAGTTAAAGAGACACACTCAACTTAAAAACACTGGCTAATGTGATCGTTGCTCCTCTTACCTCCATCTCCGTACGTCTCAACGCCGTACCCGTCCTGCAACCCATTGCTCCAGGTGCCCTCGTATCTGGCAGGTGTGTTGTGACTCTGCCGGATGCCGTACCTTCCTTTAAAGCCGTGACTCCACTCGCCCTTATAGACCCACTTGCCTTTATTCTCCACGCCTAAACCATGCCGTTTGCCCTGAGACCAGTAGCCCTTGTAGGTGTTCCCACTGGGCCAGGTGTACACGCCTACTATCTCAAAGCCGTGCGACCAGGAGCCGGCGTACTCCCCCTGGCCCTTGGGTCCGGTGCATATGCCGTGTCCGTGGGCTTTTCCATCTTCCCAACCCCCGCAGTAAGTGCCGCCGTCGTCGAAATCAAACCGTCCGCCCGTCATTCAGATATGAACAAGACGCAGCTCACCAGGAGCGCACAGAACACGGGTGTCGCTCGGGTCCAATTTGGAAACGGTGTTGACTAAGAAGACAATAGATGATATGATAGTCTAAGCATTGTCACAGAGTAAGTGTGAGGGATGCTAGTGCTGCTGGTGGTCGTTACCGGAGGCTGCTGCTCGTCTCCCCCCGCTGCGCCCACTGAGAGAGCGGTACAGACAGACACAGAGCCGCCGCTGAACACAGGCTCCGGGCCAGCGCCGACGTCACACTGCAGACCACGCCCCTCGCATCTCCTCAACCTCAGCCTCATTACAACAGGACACCGGACTTTACACCATTCAATTAACAAAAGCAGTCTCTCACTAGATCAAGCCAAGGCCAGAGGTGATTTAATGAACAAGGACAGACTATGACCCTCTCTACAAAAACGCCATCAGTGCATGCACGCATCTTAAACTCAGGCTATTGGATAAAAATGTAATTGCTAGGCCAATAAAACTGGGAGCCAGATTTGCAGATCTTGTTCACGTCAGAATGACATGACTTTTTCATATTAAACACAGATGTATACCAAACATAAGTAAAAATAGAACTCGTTTAGGATACATTGCTGAATAAAATCCAATCAAGAATAAAAAGACTTCAAATACTGTATCGATTTGGCATTATGTAACTGAAGTTGACTTGCCACAACTGAAAAAAGTAATGTGTTGAAAACACTGACATCTGCTGGCAATTTATTTTTACTACAACAACACATGGTGAAAAATAAAATGTCAGGGAAATCAACATTTTTGCTTGTAAATCGAGATAATATATAATTCCTAGCTATAATTAAATAAAACAAGTAGAAGGTAAATTTTCTTTTAGGCTAATTTGATATTTGATATCTTCCATGCCTTGCCACGAGAGGGAGATGTAGCTTTACTCTTGTTGTGGTACCGTGTCCTCAATTGTCCCTAACAGATAAGATGGCGTCTGAAAGCACATCTCAAGCCCAGGAGGAGAAAGCAGCTCTTCTAGACACCACCACTGAAGAACATCGCGATCAAACCGAGAGTGACTTAGCGAAAAAAGAGCCTAAACTGATGCTTTATCATTGGACGCAGTCGTTCAATTCTCAGAAGGTGAGTGCCAGCGTGTTTCAGCACCAGCTTCGTGGACAGCTCCTCATTACAGGATGAGCAAAATCAAAGCCCTCGATGTATCTGAACTGTGACATTGAACTTTTAGAATCACTCAGACCTTCAAAGTTAAAATAGCTCCACGTTGGTCATTGGTAGGAATAACTCAGGCTTCCGTGATTACAGAAAAAGCGTGGACCTAGTCATATCAGGAGTAGACGTTATACTTCCTGTCGTTGAAAATCAAATGTGCAGGCATGTTTTTTCAACAAATTGAAGCAATGAATCGAAAAAGTTTGTATTTTAATCACAATATTAAAAAGTACACACTCTTCCCAGATATGCACACCACCACAGACAAAACTCTAGGCTCAATTTACTTATTTAGAGTGGCTTTTAAGACTCGGTCATGCAGTGACATTTTGAGTCATTCTTTTATTATTTCATTGTTAATTGTATATGCATGTTTCTATATTGTTCTTTAGATTTGACTGGAAAGCACTTTGGTCACAGTGAGTGTTGTAAAGTGCTCTATCAATACAGAAAGGTTGATTTATGGGTATAATGTTCTTGCAGGTACGTCTGGCTATAGCTGAAAAAGGCTTACACTGTGAAGAATACGACGTGAGCCTGCCTCTGAGCGAGCACAATGAGCCCTGGTTCATGCACCTCAGTCCCACTGGAGAGGTGCCCGTCCTGGTCCACAATGATACTGTCATCTGTGACCCCGCCCACATCATGGAGTACCTCGAGCACAACTTCAATGAGGGTGAGACGCAATATCAGCAGTTTCCCATTTTCCCACATTCGCCTTTTGATTATTTTCCTTTTTGTCCATTTGTATTTCTGGTAATACTTCATAATAACTATTCATGTCTTAATAAAACATGAACAAATAAAGAACAAATTACATATTAAGAATTATTCAGGTTTAGTGACTTTATTAATACCCAAATTCTGAATCTTAACCCCTTAATTAAGCAGTTACTAAGCCTAAATTATTTTTAATAAAATATTTGTTAATTTTTAAAAATCTTTTTTTGGTGTTTTTTCATGCTTTATTAAAGGACCTTTATTACACTATTTTCTTATCTATCTTGTAATGTTGTTTCCTCATCACAAACATACATGGAGCTGTGTTTTGTTTCATTCACACAAATGCACAAATCCTTCATATTTAGGTTGTGTTCCTCTCAGACAGAAAATCCACCTTGTGATATCATGTTGTAATACAAGTGCTGTTTTTAAACTCCATACTCCTTCACTAGTATGATTTTGATAATTTTATCCCTGGAGTTACCAATCTCTACTGAACTAAACGTAAAAAGAGCTGTTAAATTAAAAACTACCACTATATGACATCACAAGGTGGAACAAAACATTTTGAGCTTTGGATATGTAGACAAATTAAAAATAAAGGATTAGTCAAACTCATATTCCAGGTTTGTTTTTGAGAAGCATTATAAATTGGCTAAAAGCTCGCAAGAGTCCATTTTGAGTAATAAAGGACCTTTAAAGCTAATTAAGCTTTTTTTTTTTTATATGATTTAACTGTAATCATTGTCACCTCCTTATATTTTTATTTTTCTCCTTATGATTGTTTCACTACTCAACAACAAGCCTCTTCCTAATCTGGTAAGTATGCAGTGTCTCTGAAATCATTAACGACTGTGCACTTTTATAGCTGTGTTTCTCCATTGTGAGTAAAGGTGTTGATGTTTCCCTTCAGAGGGCACTGTGAAGTTGATTCCTGAGGAGGGCAGCACATACTACCACCGGGTTCAACATTACAGAGAACTGCTGGACTCACTGCAGATGGACGCCTACACACATGGCTGTATCCTGCATCCTGAGTTCACTGTGGATTCACACATACCAGCATACGCAGCTTCTTGTATACGAGGTGAGAGATACAAGGACAAAACAGGGCACACTGACAGGGTGTGTCGTATTGATTGGAGGTCCATGTTGTGGGTCACATGAAGACTATTTGGACATAAACAGGAGAGTGAAGGTTGTGTCAGTAATTCAAGAGTCAGAGTAATAAAAGATCTATGAATCTAGTGAAAGAGGACATGTTTAGTTGGTTAAAGAGGAGAAAAAAAACTGATGGATAGCTTATGACTTGACTTTTCCTGAAAGCAAGAAAAAAATATTATCTTGAGCAAGTTGAAATGAAATGACTTACTTTTGCTTCTAAAATTGTTAAGATCTTTTTTGAGTTCTTTTCATTATATAGCGCATTGAATTATCATGACTGTTGAATAATCAAGTAATCTTGATGTCCCTACTGCAGACTGGGGTATTTCGTACAGTGTTTGTTAACCTTTGTATGTTCTTACAGCACAGATAGGAAACACACAGACAGAGCTAAAGAAACTGGCTGAGGAGAACCCAGAGTTGAAAGATGCTTATCTTGCCAAACAAAGGCGGCTAAAGGTAAAATCAAATGTTAAATGAACAATCTTTAACTCTTTATGCCAACCAAGTAACTGAAATGTATTTATTCTTTCCAGTCTAAGCTGTATGACCATGACAACATGAAGTATCTGAAGAAGTTACTGGATGAACTAGAGAATGTAATGGATCAAGTGGAGACAGAGCTTCAGAGGAGGGCTGAGGAAACACCAGGTAAACTTCTGATCCAGGAGGTTGTGGGTTAAATTCTCTAGTGGTCAACTACTGATTTTTATTTATTTATTTATTTATTTTTTGTTTTAATCAAAATATGTAATCTGAAAACTAATCATAACTACATGCTATTATAGACATACATTTTGTTTTGTTTTGGTTACATGTTGTTCTGTCCATACTGTATATTTTTTTTATTTATATTCATTTTTTACCTTTATTTTAGCATAGTTTATGTTATAATTATTATTTATTGTTTTATGTCCCACCGTTTCACCAAAGTAAGTTCCTAGTTTGGGAATTTTGTTTAGTGGCAATAAAAACTTTTCAGATTCTGAAGTTGTTAAGTATGACATATTTGTGTTGCACAAAAAAACTTGGTACAGCTAATCTCATATATTTGTCTTGACAGAGGAGGGCTGTCAGTCATGGCTTTGTGGTGACTTCTTCAGTATGGCTGACGTCTCCCTTGCGGTCACCCTGCACAGGCTCAAGTTCCTGGGCCTGTCTCAGCGTTACTGGGGCAATGGTAACCGCGTCAACATAGAGACATACTATGGCCGTGTGGTACAACGGCCGGCGTTTAAGAGGGTTCTCGGTCACGTCAACAACATCCTCATATCAGCCGTGCTCCCTGTGGCCTTCCGCGTCGCCAGAAAGAATGCTCCAGTTATTTTAGGTACCACTCTCCTGATAGGGATTCTGGGAGGAGCTACGTACCTGGCTTTTCTGTACATGAAAAAGAGGGTCACGCTGTTTTGTTGAGTGAGTGAAAATGGAGAGGGGATCTAAATCATTCTAGCTAGCATTTTACATTCAATTAAGTTATATATATATATATATATATATATATATATATATATATATATATATATATATATATATATATATATATATATATATATATATATATATATATATATATATATATATATAATAAAAGTATAGCCTTGGGATTATATAGTACATACAGGCCAACCTTGATAAATTACATTAACATTAACTGTGGATTTATTTCACTGTACATTTATTTATTATTTCACTAATATTCGGCACAGACTAAAACGTTTTAACTGTTATAACTAACCAAATTTAGATAATGCTTTATATTAGAGATTAACAGTCATCAGTGACCAATTCTATACAATGTTCTTTATATGCCATATAGCTTCAAATGAGCTGGTGAAATCTGATATTCCCCTGAATAATTTAATTTATAAATGTGTAACTGCCTGTAAATTATATTATGAATCGCTAGGCTGAAGCTCAAGCATTGGCTGTAATATTGTAAATTAAATCTTGTGTGGTGGTGCTGCTTCTCTGCTCATCACATTAAATTAGACTGGGATGAATACAAGAAACCTTATGACAAACAATGCTGCATGTGCTTGTATAAGGAATATCAGCATCAGGGCACTGAAAATTTCACATACTATTCATGAGTACTTATTGCTAAGTGTATGGAAAATATCTATGTCGATGGACTATTTCAGTGGGTAAGATGTTTTTATCATTTGTGTGTAATAAAGACATACATTTGCACATTAAAAACATATGTACCTTTTGGTGATTCACAGTACATCACATTTATTTATTAGAAGTGCTTTAACCAGTTTGTTTTCTCTTTTAATTGCACAGTTTATAATTAACAACCCTAGCCCTCCTGGAGTTAGTGTGTCAGGCTCTGTTAAAAGACATGTCATAAGTGTGAAAAAAGTTGTTAAAATGTGACACTCCAAATGGCAGGAGACATTACGTCAGTTGGAGACCTGTAAGGGAAGTAGCCATAAATAAAGTTTTAAGAGAGCCATGTTAGCAGCTTGCATCGCATTTCGGGTCTAATTTTAGGAAACAGGAGTATGTGGTAATGTATAGTTTTAGCTTTGTATTCACATTATCATAAATGCAAAGATCAAACTGTTATTTAAATTAAAGCAGATTCTATAGAATACAAACAAGTGAAATTTCATATGTCCACCACTAGAGAGCAGTGTTTCATTTGTGTTATAGTGATTAGGATGCACCTCCAACAGTGCCAATTCATAGTGAAAATACCCAGCCCGTCCCTGTCAGATGCAATATACAAGAGATTAAAAAAAAGAATAATGACATCAGGCAAAGGAAGACACGTGGCGGAGCTGAAAAGTGGTCGAGGAAAGCTGACAAAATAAACGCGTCTCGGATCTGGATCTGATCACGTATTGTTCAATTGATTGGTGCTGATGTCTCGCTATTCACTTGTTTAAAATTCACCAGGTGCTTCACAGTAATTGGCTGAGATTTTAAGTTGGAGAGCAAGCCTGATTTTTTACTTTTTCCAAATCGGAATGTCACATGGAACAATGAGAATCCCAGGGCCACACTAAGAAGTGAAGCAGACAAAAAAAAAAAAAAAAAAAAAAAAAAAAAAGTAATAAAAAATAGAAAACAATGTAATATAAAATGCCAAGGCTCCAATACTCATGTGCTACTGTTATCACAAATCTGGATATGATTTTGCATGATTTTTAATATAACTTTTCAAAAAATATTATAATATTTAATTTCCAGCATTTTTGCTTATAACAATGGGCAAGAGTATCTGAAAAAAAAAAAAAAAAAAAAACCCAAAAAAACAAGTTCCTCTGATTTGTGCCTGGATACCCGTATACAAATGCACTTAAGTGGTAAATGGTTGCATTTTTATATAGTGCTTTTCCACCTTGAAGACACTCAGTGGGCTTTACATCAAGGAATCATTCACCGACTCACACATACATTCTTACACCACAGACATCGGGGTGAGGTGGGTTAAGTGTCTTGCCCAAGGACACAACAATAGCATTTATCTGTGGAAGCTGAATTCACACCGCCAGCCTGTGGGTCAGTGGACATACACTCTGCTTAAGTGAGTTGCTGTCGCCCACACTTAAACATAGCATTTGTTTTGTATGAAAATCTGCTTGACTTAAGATCACATAAAGTAGGTGCCCATTATGAAAGTCCTTATTGTGGGTGAAGCAGGACATATTGTTAGGAGGCCATTACAGTAAGTGAGTTCTGCCTGGCACGGTTTTATCTTCGACCAAGGGACCACAGGAAAAGTACTCTAGATTCACCTTACAGCTCTACATTACTTACACTGGTCAAAAGATTCTTACACAGCACCCACTCAGCATCATCACCATCTTCCTTTTTGCCAGCTGCACATGTTGTTTCCATTGGGCAGAGTGCGTCAGAGAGAGTGCGTGGGGTAGTCCAGGTGTGTCTGTGTCTGCTTCACAAACCCCAGGGGAGAAAGAGATGACACAGGCTTGTGGTCGTCTGGGATTAAAATATGGGGATATTAAAACCACAAAGACAACCACCACATGAAAAAGTATTATAATTTCTTTACACTGAAATCCTGGGGTCATCGTTTCCATGTGATATTGTGATGAGTGGACAGTAGTGGAGAGGTGGAGCAGTGGAGCTTGAGTAAACACAAACCCACGTAGCTGTACCTGAAGGAGGCTCAGTCTGATGTGGGACCTGGAAACTTCCACACAAACTTTCCAAAAGAGGGAAAGAAAGAAACACAGGGAGTGGTGAATTTGACAAGGATTAAGAAAAAAAAAAAAAAATCATTAGTCTTTGTTGCCATGTTAGAGCATGTTTATGTTTTTTTAATATATGATACATCTTGACAATCAAGCTGAAAAAGTAGAAAATAAAACAAACAAAAAACAAAACAAGAACTTTAAAAATAATATTTCAATACTGCTCACCTCAAGCGCAATTATTGCCCTTCTTCCAACCTAGAGCTCTTGAATACCTCACTATTGAATAGTACTTTAAAATAGTGAATTTGTTGGCAATCCTTTAAAGCTCCCTTTAAACTATTCCACAGGTTAACCTTTTAACACAGAAACTTTTTTCTTATTGTCCGAGTTCTGAGTTGATTGAACTTGAAATTACCCCTCGACTATAGAACTCTTGTCTGAAACTAAGCATATTTTGAAGATTAGGTGGTAACAAGTTCTTATTTGTTTTAATCATAATTTGCACTGTTTGTAACTGAAAGAGATCATATAGTTTCAACAGTTTTGATTGTAGAAAATGTGAATTTGTGTGATCCCTGTATCCTACCTTGTGAATAATTCTTTTAGCTCTTTTTTGAAGAATACTGATGACAATGTAGTCTTATAGTTTCCTCAGATTTCAATACAGTATAGTAAATATGGAACAACTAGTGGAGAGTACAAAATATGGAGGGCTAGTTAATCTAATACTAGTTTTGCTTTGCATAGAAATGCTTCTTTCTTTTTTCCAATTTAGTTTGTTATCAATTCTTACAGCCAGAAACGTAATATCATTTACAGTATCAATGTGCTCACCCTTAATTTCAATGTCCATGTTAGTAACTGCTTTATAATCAAATAATATTTTGTTAATATTACAATTTTGATAATTTGTTAATGCCAAACCATAGCTTTAATTTTGACATTTCTATTCAATCTAAGTTACTTACATGAGTACTTGTGCCGGGGACGGCAGTAGCTTGGTTGGTAGAGCATTCGCTCACTGATCTGTTGGCAGTTTGAATCCAGCTCTCAACATAAATAAAAAAAAACAAACAAAAAAAACATCACGGGTTGAGCGGTCAGATCCACTGACTCACAGGTTGGCTGGTGTGATTCCAGCTCACACAGATGAATGCTGCCGTTGTGTCCTTGGGCAAGACGCTTAACCCACCTTGCCCACAGTGTCTGTGTACACTGGTGTGTGAATGGGTATGTGGGTGAGTAAAGCGCTTTGAGTGCCTTGAAGGTGGAAAAGCGCTATAGAAAAATGTGACCATTTACATTTGGTCCTGAAGTAATAACATTTGTATCATCTGCAAACAAAATGAGCTTTAACAAATCTGAAACTCTACACAGGTCATTAATGTATGTAATATTTATTGGGCCCAATACTGACCCCTGGAGCACACCGCATGGAATTTCCATACAGTCTGATTACATATCACCCAGCTTCACAAACTGTTTTCTACAAATCAAATATCCCCTTACCCAATTTAATGCAGCCCCTCTGATACAATGTCTTTCCACTTTGTTGATTAGCAGAGAGTAACCCTTTATTATTAGTCCACATCTCCAAAGCTCAAAGTGCTCCATTCCACCTTATGATGCCATAAAGTGTATTTTTCAACTTACCTGTTACCTTTTGAAGAGTTTTGAAATTCCAAAGAAATCATCCAATGATTCTAGATGAATGTGACGTGAAAATCTCTTAACTCATTACAGTGAATAATTATGATCCAAGTAATGCCTTAAAGGTTGTATGGAGGATTTTTTTTGTTTCAAATTGTCAATGATAGCATTATAGAGATGCAGTAGCCTTGTAATTATGATGACCAAAAAAAAAAGAGAATAAAAATTCATCAACTCTGGACGTGGTGGGGCTAAACATTTGCCAATAGATAACGACACTGCCTCGTTATCTGTTAGCTGACAGGCTGTCAATCAAACTCCCTACGTTTCTAGCGTAACTGACTTGCCTGCGCGCCGCCGGTACGTGGTTTACGTACGACTGCCACGCAGTCCACAGACGCACAGACGCTGTTTACTTCACCAACGCAACGGTTCTGAGCGGCTTTTTTGACCAATATCTTCCTCGCAGTTAGCACAAAGTTTGTTGCAATGGCAGACAAGAATCCAGGAGCAGTTCGCCGCAAAAGAAAGTCCGTTTTTGAGGTCGCTGAAAGAAGAAGATAAGGGGAAGAGCAGCGAAGCCAAACTAAGGTG